CTCGGTAGGCCTGAGCGCCTGAGCGGCCTCGGGGTCTGGAAGGGGCTCAGGAAACCGTGGCTGAATGAAGGGATCTGTGGACTCTGAGCCCTGCCCTGCACGGTGCCCGTCTCCCACGTGGATGCACTTGCGACCCTGACCACCCACGGCCTCCTGGGACTGGTGACCGGCGCTGGGGCCCGGGGCTTTCCAGCCGCCCCGTGAGATGGAACCGCAGCGACCTCCCCCCACAGCGACCTAGTTCTCAATTCCTGTGGTCTCGGCCTCACGCTGCCGCTCTGAGGAGGCGCCGGCCTGCGGCCAAGGGCACCGACACGGAGGTGAGTGGCTGAGAAGGGGCGCCCTCCCTCCTCCCCACAGCGGGCCGTGGTGCAGAGGCTCCTGGGAGCAACAAGAACACATTGAAAATCACCTGAAGAGGAGTGAATGCTACAGAGGTGTCGATGCTGTGATGTCAGGGCACACGATTGCCTGTAACACTGTAGGTACAGTGTGAGCCCCACCATGTGAAAACATACATGTACATAGCATGCATGTGCGTGCGCATGTGTGTGCATGTGTCCTGTGGTGCATGTGTGGGTGTGCTTTCCATCTGATCACTGGGTCAAGGTCATTCTAACTCTCCTTACAGCTCTGGAGGGGCTCATGGAGGAAGAGAGCTGTGTGACCCCGGGACCCACGCCAGGCGGGGCAGGGGTCTCTGTACTGAGAAGAGCCGGGGCCACGGGAAGGATGCTCAGCATCTCCGTGGGGACAGGATTGTGGTCTCCCCTCACGGAGAAGTGGGGGGGCTGCTGGTCACCCCTTAGAATCCTTGGTGTCCACTCTCTTCCCAGAAACGCGGCTGGGCCAAGGTCTCCCACGGCGAGACGCCCCTCCATGTGGGATGATGCATGCGAGGGGAGCCTGACACCATCGCTGTCGCCATCGCCATGCCAACCCGAGGAAAGGACGAGGATGAGGGGCAGTGTCACCAGGAAGCTGAGCCGAGGGGCCCGCGCCTGCCTCTGCCGTGGGGTCCCTCCATGGGACTGTCCTCTGTCCACCTGACCGGACCCCTTTCCCAAAGCCACGCTGTAGCTGTCAGGTGAGCCGCTGGGAGGGCGGGCACACGGCCTGGCTCTGCCAGCCACAGG